AGACCATTTTTTGGGCTCGACAGAGTTGTCTTTCGAATAAGTGGAGCCCAGGGGGGGGTAAAGGGGGATAAGGAGGACCCCCCTAAAACGGTCTCGCAGCCAAATGGCGGAATCGAGAGGGATAGTCTTCACCCAGGTTAATCTGCATCACAGCAAAGGGGCCTTGGCTGTTTTGGCCAGGCAACAAGCTGGGAGACAAACATGCATATCACTGATGCAAGAACCCTGGGTAATCCGAGGTTGCATCAGGGGTTTGGCGGCCTGCGGTAGGCTCTTTAGGGCTCCATCAGTGGACCGGCCCAGGGCCTGCGTGGCCGTCAAGGGCATGGAAGCCCAGCTGATACCTCACCTGTGTTTCAGGGACGTTGCGACTGTAGAAGTGAATTTCACTGATGACTCCGGTGACAGGAAGAAAATGGTATTTGCTCGGCCTACTTCTCTCATGACGAGGGGGAGGCGGTGCCGCCTGTACCGGTGATAAAACTGGCAGAATACTGCCAGGAGAAACGGCTTCCCCTGATCATGGGATGTGACGCTAACGCGCATCACACCGTGTGGGGAAGCTCGGACACCAATGAAAGAGGGAGGAAAGTGTTGGAGTTTCTAGCATCTACGGATCTGGAGATCCTCAACACAGGAGACGAGCCCACCTTCTGCACTATAGCGAGAAGAGAAGTGCTCGACATCACTGTCTGTTCCAGGCAGTTGATACAGGAGGTGGTGGAGTGGAGGATCTCGACGGAGCCCTCGCTCTTTGACCACAGGCAGATCTCCTTCAGGATAGCTAAAGCTAGGGGGAAGGAGATCAAATTTAGGAATTCGAGGAAAACCAAGTGGGACTCCTATAGGGAAAACCTGGCCAACAGTCTCAAAGGCTTTCCTAAGAGGCACGGGACAGAGGACGAACTGGAGACCTGTGTGGACTACTTGCAGAGGTCTCTGGTAAACTGCTACGAAAGTAACTGCCCCAAAAGGGCGGTTACAAATAGTAGAGGAACTTCTTGGTGGACCCCTGGACTGCAGGGTCTCAGAGTGGCGGCTCGTAGGGCCTGGAACAGAGCCAGGAACACGGGCCGCCAATCCGACTGGGAGCTCTCTAGGAGGGCACAGAAGGAATATAGAGACTCTGTGGTTAGGGCGAAACTGGAAAACTGGAGAAAGTTTTGCGAGGAAGTAGAGGGAATGCCTAAAACGGCAAGAATCTGCAGGATCCTCGCTAGGAACCCGGATGCGACTCTGGACGCCATCGCACTTCCTGATGGGACGGTGGTGACTGGAGAGCAATGTCTGGAGCATCTATTGGAAGTGAGCTTTCCGGGCTTCCATAGGGAACAGGGAGAGCAATTTGCATATAAGGAGCCGGGCTCACTCAGAAGAGCCCGACAAGCGGACTGGCGAATGGCGGCCAAGATTGTCATGCCCGAGAAGGTCAAGTGAGCAATTAACACCTTTAAGCCCTACAAGTCAGCGGGACCGGATGGTATCTTTCCGGCTCTTCTACAAGAGGGACTGGAACAGATCGTGGGCCCACTGACCCGAACCTTAAGGGCTTGTATCGCGATGGGCTACACACCCAGCGCATGGAAACTGGCCAGGGTAGTTTTCATTCCGAAGGCGGGAAGAACGAGCTACACCAAGGCAAAGGATTTCAGGCCAATTAGCCTAACATCGTTTCTCCTTAAGACATTGGAGAAGCTGGTGGACGCGTATCTGAGGGAGACAACTCTGTGGAGTCACCCTCTCCACAAGAATCAGCACGCGTATCGTTCGGGCTACTCCACCGAGACTGCTCTACATCAGACGGTAGCGTTTATTGAGGAGCAGCTGGAAAGGAAGGGCTACGCAGTGGGTGCTTTCTTGGACATAGAGGGCGCCTTTAACAACACACCGCACGAGGTAGTGTGTGAGGAAGCCGCCAGAAAGGGTGTCCCAATAAAGCTCGTTGAGTGGATCCGGGGCATGCTAGGGAGGCATGTGATGACTTCGCTGGGAACTGCAAAAGTCTGTGGGTGGGTGGGAAGAGGCTGCCCGCAGGGCGGAGTACTTTCCCCATTTTTATGTACCTGGTAGCAGACGGTTTATTAAGGGCACTGGACGATAGAGGCTTCACTGCACAAGGCTACGCGGATGACGTGGCAATACTTGTGCGAGGCCCGTTCCTAGAGACGCTTCTAGAGCTCATGCAGGGGGCACTGGAAGTTGTAGAAGAGTGGTGTCAGAGGACAGGGTTAGCGGTGAATCCACTGAAAACCGGTCTTACTGTCTTCACTCGCAAATACAAGGTGGGCATCATTGTGGGACCCACTCTTGGAGGAGTAAGGTTAGTTCCGACCGAATCGGTGAAATATTTGGGAGTTATCCTGGATAAGAAACTGCTTTGGGAGGAGCACCTTCGTAATCGGTGCAAAAGCTTGTGCTAGTATTTTTGGACGTGTAGAAGGACCTTTGGCCAGACTTGGGGCTTGAAACCGAGCATGATACACTGGATCTACACAGCCATACTTCGCCCCAGACTCACATACGCAGCCGTAGTATGGTGGACTAGGGTGCAAAAGAAAACAGCCATAGTTGCGCTGGAACATGTCAGGGCTCTGATTTTGAGAGGGGCCCTGGGTGCTATGGTTACGACACCAGTGGCGGCGATGGGCGTAATGTTCGGCATCAAACCATTTCATCAGGTGGTGGTGGCTGCTGCAGCAACGGCGGCATACCGTCTAAGATGCGAACTAAAATGGAAGAAGGGAGCCCGGCATACGAGGCTGCCGGAAGACGTTCTGCTGGATCCGATATTCGAGATGCGACAGGACAGAATACCTACTATTCGGGCTTCTGATAGGCGCTTCAAAGTGCATATACCGAGGCCGGAGGAGTGGGAAAAGGAAGGTGGAAACTTAGGGGCTCGAGTGCGTAGAGGAAATGTCTGGTATACGGACGGCTCCAAGACGGACACGGGCTCCGGGGCCGGCTTCTTTGGCAGTTGAAAGGGATGGAAGGAGAGCATTTCTCTCGACAGTTATGCCACGGTATTCCAAGCGGAGATTGTGGCTATCTTAAGCTGTGCTCAGACCGTACGGAGTAGGGTAGAAGCGGGAGAGCACATCAGAATTTGTACGGACAGCCAGGCAGCCATCAAGGCGCTGGGGGCTCCGATAATAACGTCGCGGTTGGTTCGGGAGTGCAGGTGCGTTCTGAACGAACTGGCGAGAGAGAGAGAAGTTACCGTTACCTGGGTGCCGCGTCACTCGGGCATCCAGGGTAATGAATGTGCGGACCAGCTGGCAAAGGCGGGTTCAGAATTAACGATGGTAGGACCGGGGCCGGCCCTGGGAATCCCCTTTTGTTTAGGAAAGAGGAGGATCAAAGAATGGCTCCGCAGAAAACATCTAAAACACTGGAGAGTGGAATCTGAGTCCAAATGCAGACAGGTTAGAGCTCTGATGGGAAATACTCCTAATAGAGAACTGACTTGGAGCATAAGGGCTCTGAGTAGGAAAGATACCAGGACAGCGGTACACATACTGACGGGTCATGGCACCTTAAACTACCACATGTACAAGCTTGGGCGTAGCGATACATCCAAGTGCAGGGCATGTGGAGACGACGAGGAAACAAGCCTTCATGTGCTCAGCGACTGTCCTGCACAGGCAGGGTTGAGACACAAGATGCTGGGCTCAGCACTACTTGGGCCCGAGCAGATCAGGA